CGAATCTTTTGATGATGTAGGCACCGAATCTTTTGATGATGTAGGCACCGAATCTTTTGATTTTTGTACATCCATATTGCTCTGATTGATAGCTTGACCTTCAATCGAAAACTATGAATAACTGTTTTGTTGCTTAGACCAACAGCACTTTCTCCTTTTTATTGCTGTTAATTGACTTTTTTCTCTACTTTTTGGATTACCTAAAATATTTTACTTTTTTCTTGTTCATAATCAAGGACGAACCCTACCTAGCTTCTATTGAAAATACTATGGTGAAGAACGAGGGAGACAGAAAGAGAGATAGAAACCAAAAGTATTTATTCGCTGAGGACGTCAGAACGAACGAATAGAAAAAAACCAACTGCATCATTTTTCGTATTACTATTCTTCTGTACTTTCTCTTGCTTTTTGTCCTCTCAATAGTTTTATTGATCATGCATATGATATAATCTCTCTCTCAATAATATTCACAAGAAGAACATCATTCATTATTCATTTTTCTTTTTCGCATCAGATTGCACTTCACCACTTACATTTGATTATATTTGATGCGATAAGAACGGAAAAAAAACGTTGTTACTTCGGTTTTTTTACTACACTGTGAAATGTTTAATGTTCGTTACACTTGACTTCACTTCTTTTCTCTTCTCTTCTCTGTATGATTTCTCCCTTATAGTGTTGACCTTGACGATGTATATTTCTTTTTCTCTACTCGTGTTTGAACATTATCGAAGGTTTTTGTTTGTCGTCATATAGATATAATCGAGCAACGATACTCATGATCCCGAAAGTGATTGTTTAAGAAAACTAAAATTATTTCAAGGCAACTCAATAAGAGCAAGGAACTCAATAAAATCAGAATGCTAAAATAAAGATGACAGCCTTCTAATCATATTCCAGCAAGTATTCGTAAGAGCGAGCATTTTTCACAACTCATTGTGTTATCTAACTGGAAACTATTCAAACCTCGGCTTTTAGTTCGGGCTAATGTTGGACAATATATATTTTAAATTTCACATGCAACCTGATTCCACTAATGCGGATGCAATTACTGCATCGTTGCACTATTTTTTTTGAACTCCATAATAGTTTGCAGCTACAGATTCTTAAATTCTGTATGTATCTTGAATTCTTTAAATTTTTAGAATTATTGATTCATCGATGGTGAAGTTGTCTTTATATTCTATTGCATTTTTTTTAGAATTATTACGCAAAAACATGATATTATTTATTTTTAATAATTCATCGAGCTCGGAAAGCAAAAGCGACTAATAATATATGACAAAGATATAAAAACACTAGAGAAAAACTTATGAAATGAAAAGACAATAATATAAAAAAGCATTATTCACTTTTATTCAATTAAACGAGTTTTAAGAGTTATTTTTTTGATTTATCTCATCTGTGAATTCAATGATAGATAGAAGTTACCAGTATGCATCTTAAACTGGTTTATTAAATTTCACTTTCACATATACATAACTGTTTCTAATGCCAGAAGAAGATGGATGGGGTGAGTAACATGAATATCCTCTCACTCCCATCCTATCTAAAGTAGGTTTTTTTATATTCATGTTTTTTTTGTAATGATAGACTGTGTAGTTTCACTTATCTTAAGCCATATATGGACAATTGAATGCAGCTGTACTTTTTTTCAATAGTAAGAATACACAAACAAAATCATCATTAAAGAATCGCACACAAAAAAAATTGTCGATGATGTTGACATTGATTGATGATTGAATTATTATATAGGACTTTTCCTGAAATTGTAAATATCAAGAGCCAAAGAGACTAGCAAATAATAACGTTGAACACGAAGAAAATAAATATTCTACCAAAATATAATTCTATTATTGTTGTCTGCTTTTTTTTTCTTCGCTTATACATATGTAGTAAGTAACGACAAAATGAAAGTATAAACAAATGAAGGCTGATAAAAAAACAAGGTTACATTTTTTTTCTTTCTTTCTTTCGGTTTATTTGTATCTCATGAAGAGCCTTTTCTCCCTATCTGTCTCTCCATTTCGTAACAAGATGGCAAGTTTGCATACGTAAGAATGCGTTCAAATAAATTCAACACTGTTCATTTGATTTCAGTAATTTTTTCTTGTCACATTTCAAGAATAAGTTCTCGAGGGCTTTCAATAACGGTGGAGAAAGATATTTCCAAAGGCTTGAATTCGGAATAGAGAAATTTAAAAACTCTAGTCCTAATGTTTCGATTGACGACTAATATCGATGTTCATATGGCTGATTCACTTTCACTTCTAAATATACATTATCAACGGAATTCATCGAAGTTCTATCTCTGACTAGTTGATTAAGTTGAACTAAAAAAAACGTCAATGGCTGCTCAGAAATCAAAAAGAGAAGTGATAAACGACAGAGCATTCATCTATTTTGATAAA